ATCCAATGATGAATTTGGGGTACCAGTAGAATAAGATAACATTAATATGCTCAATCACGTTGGTGGCCAAGTTGATTGGGAACAGATTTGCTTTCTTCAGCGCCATCGCTTACAGTAGCCTTTGATGATGAGTGTTTGAAATATGATATTGTCCAATCTCCAACACATTAGTAGTGATTAGACCTTCTCTCTTCTATCGGATCTCCCAAGCTAGTATTAAATATCCCATCTGGGAAGATATAAGCCGGATGATGTTCTAAATATTAGTGGCATGTTGAACTATATTCATGGCATATCTGATCTACTATATTCCTTCATAGCTTTCATATATAAATCAATCAACGCACGGATGTACTATATTCCTTTCTACCGCCTCTTGTCCAATGGTGGGAAACACGAGTGGCGTTTTGGTGGATTTGGGGTCTCCTACCCACCAGTTGTACCCACAGAGCACTACCACCATGTATTAAGAATATCTCCCCATGAATAATGACAAGGGAGATATTCCCAATGTGCAATTGTCATGTCAGTTGAGTAACAGATTCGAACTGATTACTAGGATGTTGCGTTGCCCCAATGGTGAGAGAACAGTGAATTGAGAGGAGGTGCAGCCCGATATATTCCCCATCCAGATTGAACGTTAGAAAAGTTAAAGTTGTTAAATATCTTTGCTTCTTTTAGAAATTTTGAAAGAAAATGAAGAGTAAAATAGTTATGAGGTATACTTAAGTCTATTTTAAAAACTTGGGGTATGTTTAAGTTAATTTATGAAAACATGGGGTATTTAACTCTTTTACCCATAAATAAATAAAGGTCGGGATGGGCGAGAGGTGATGGGTATGGGGATAGGCTTCACCCTAGTATATAGCCCATTACCAAAAAGGGTTGCAGGTTATGGGTATTGGGGATGAGCTACCTCTGCTGTGGATAAGACCTGTTCACAGATCGGGCTGATCCATTGGGCTACACGACCCAAGAACAGGTCTACTATGGATCCCAAAAAAGGTTGGGGTATGGGTATAGAGAATGGGTTATCCCCGTTGTGTAGTCCCATCCCCATGAACCAAAAACTTTCAAACTATTTATACATACGAACGCTCTATGGTCCACATGTATTAACAATATGTGACTCTTCTTATTCTTTTTATTGATAATATGAATATAATTTAAAGAAGATTGGTTGAGTGCCATCGCATAAAAAAAAAAATGTTTTGGGCGTTCATCAAATTAATTTAAGGGTAAATTGGAGATAGGAACTTTATATTTTAAAAAGGACTTTTGAATCCGACAACTCTTGAATTTTGTGAAATGTCAATTTGGACTAAAGAATTAAAAGAGCCATTTTGAATCTCAAACAGATAGAAAGACCAACGTTAGCCAAAAATACACGACATTAGAAATGTAGTTCATAGATTTGCTAATCAAAAAATAAGAAGAAGAAATGCTGATGTGTCACTATTCAACTAAAAAAATGAAAAAAATTATAAGTTGATCTCACTTGAAATTATATCATGTTAAATCTCATACATTATCAAGAATAAAATAAAAAATATTTAATATGTAAATGAATAAATATTAAAAATAATATATAAATGGGTAAAACTTAAAATTTCCTCAACAGAAAAATAATGTGGGTCCCACGAAAAGACACTACACTTCTTATACATGGTGGGCCCCACTCTCATAATAAGATGTGCGGTGCCGAATCATGTTGGGAGAGTGTTGGAACGTATTTTATTGGCAAGTCATCGGGTTTCCCTTTCAAGCCTTTTGAGTTTCGAGTTAACTCTACTTTTTTTCTTTTCCATGTTTCAAAATATAATAATAATAATAATACACTTATCACTGGTGATTGATCCATGGGCCCAATAAAAAGAGCCATGTCAACATGGAGTCTATGGTATGAAATTCCATTATCCTACAGTTCAAGTCCAAATACTGAGGCAATCACCATAGAACACATCAGCTCCTTTCTATGATCAGGCTGACATGGCCTATCCTAAATAGTCGTGTATCCTATGTTTTTCAAAGAGGATGTGGACATGGCATCAACACCATGCGAGACCAATCAAATTATTAAAAACACCTCCAATGACATGTTTAATCTATGCTATCTATAAAAGTGTGAATTCAGTGTGAAACTTTTTTTTAGACTAAAATTATCCATTATTTCTTTGTTTAAAAAAATGGTATAAAAGTCATTTTATTATAGTTTTAATGCTAGTTTTAATGACAACTATAATGGGCATGTTTGTGTATTTAGTCCATCTCTAATTGTAAAGGCTGAAAATGAAACTTCAATTATTACTTTCCACCTCATTTAATCCCCTCTCATTAAGTCTTATACATAAGGTATTAAATCTCATTTTCTCTTATTAAATCCTATATTTTTAAGTTATTTTTCACTAATAAATGAAACTAATTATATCTATGTCAATATTTTTAACAATATAAACTCATATATTTTAAAACTTATTCAAAAACAAAATCATTCTTTATCTAGGTGGTGGCTAAGCAATTCAACCTATGAAGTCATAGTTAGGTAATAAACTTTTTAAAATATAAATAAATATAGAAATTCAGGTACACATATAATATCATGTATTTATCATACTAAACAAAATGTAAGTGTGACATTTCAGAATTATTTTTACACGCAAAAATGCAAAATATATATATATATATATATATATATATATATAAAATTGAACACATCTATAATTCTATATTTACATTACTAATAAAAATATGAATAAGATTGTGGAACTTTCTTTTGCCTAAAATCAAGGTTTTAAAAACTGACACAAAAATGGATCAGCTTTGGCTTTCGGTTTCCGGGTCAGGAGTTCAACTGTCCAATTTGAGCGGTCAAACTAGTAAGATGTAAAATATAATGTAACTTTTTATTTTGACCGTTAGATTAGGATTATGTTAAATTTCATCATATATATACATTATTATGAGAGGAGAGTATAAGACTTTGAGAAAGAGGTGGTTGTTAAAGTTGAGAAGTTAAAGAGAGAGAGAGAAAGAGAGAGAGAGAGAGGAGAAGAAGAAGAAGAAGAAGAAGAAGAAGAATACAAGCGTCGTCGGAGGTGGTTGTCACTATGTTTACCGATTGTTGTTGCATAACCATTTTGCCTTGAGAAGAAGAAGAAGAAGAAGAAAAAGAAGCCATTGGTAGCTATCTCTATGTTCATCATCACCGCCACCACTGCACCATTTGCCCTCTTACATCTTTCTCATTTCTCTAAATCTCTCTCAATTCCCAAATTGTTTGATTCATTAGTGACTTGGTGTATCTCAAATTTTAATATAAGATCGGTGTTTAATCTTTCATCTCTTGCATCGATTATTCGATTTCTTCATTATAGTTGCAATTTTTTTGCTGCTACAACTTCAAAAGAATCACAATAATGAGAAAAATCAAAATAAAAAAAAAAACTAAAAACCCTAACTAATTTTAGCCATTGGGATTAATTGAACAAGATTATGAGATATGAAGCTTTTTTTTCATTTTTTATTTTCTAAATTCTATTTTAAATTAAATAAAAAAAAATTGAAATTAGTTTGAAAGCAACCCGATGACCATTAATTGGGTTGAACATTTTAATGGTTAAATCATCTGGATCAATGATTCCTTGACCATTTCAACATTTTTTTTTTGTAAATTGGTGGTTCAAGGACAAAATGGAACTAGTGACCTAATTGGTTCTTAGGCCAAAATGGTTCAACCGTTCGGTCTGGTTCGATTTCTAAAGCAGTGACTAAAATACTCATTTTTTAATTTAGTCCCTATTTAATTATAAGGTTTAAATTGTAAATAGAACTATTTTTTGCTTCGTTCCTTTTATTTAAATTTTACATTYTTTTGATAAATAAACAAAAGAAAAAATATATACAAAAAAGATCAAACACTACAGAAAGAAGAGTCTAACAAAGCAAGTAGATATATCAATGATACTTAAAACTTCACAACTAGATTTGATTATCACATATTTGAAAGAAATATTTATGTAATTAGATTTGAATTCTACAATCTGCAATTGAATAATAATAAAAAATAAAAAATAGAATTTATAAAAATTTTTAAATATAGTATTCCTATAATTATCATCTGCTACCTACACAATATATACACACTTGTTAAAAGTTAAACAGACATTGACATAATTGATTGATATCGAAATGTAACACATCACAAAATATAGATTGTTGCTCCAGTGTATAGAATTTGATACCGTAGTTGAGTCAGTCAGTCGACATTTGTCCTTGCCATATGGCTATTCACATGGGCGTGTAGCTGGCCAGAATTTCTTAGAGCAGGACCCGCTGTGGAAACTTGAGTACCAATTTCCTGAAGCTGGTGATGAAAGAGGAGGAAACTGCAAAATTCTTTACAGAAAATTCTATCACCGTGTAGAAGACGAGCGCATTTCCAACTTGGCAACTTATTCGTCTTGTAACATTCACAAGTCAAGTCAGGAGAGAGACCGAGAGAGAAAGACATGATGAGTGGACAGAAAACCACAAACGTACCCCAAACGTGTTCAACTGGGAATGGGAGTAAATAAAATCAGCGTGTAGTTTGGGTTTAGGGCTTGTTTTATTAATGGGCACACCGCCTAGGTAAGCCCGCCTACTTATTCAAAAGTCTTTAAAAATACTTGTAGTTTTTCTTGCTTAAAAAAATTCCGTCACTATTATTACACCTACACAAACTGGAACCAATTAATAATAAAATGATAGTAAAATAAGTGATGTTTTTATATGTTGACAATCTTTATGCATTATTACTGGTTCGGAACAGCAAGAATTTATCTCAATCCAATTATAAATCAAAACCAACATAGTTCATTGGGTAGATTTGATTTTCTATCTTCAGATAGAAATTCTGGCTAGTTGAGGGCAAAATGGAAGCCTATTCATTTAGATTTTTCCTGAGTTTCGGTTTTTAATTTTCTATCTTCAGATACTCTGTTTGAGTTGTTTTAATTCTTCTATGAAGAGATGTTTAAATCCTGGAAATTTTTTGCATCTCCAGCGGAAAAAGTAGGTGGTATATTCTCACTATTGATMAAAGCAATATTAGCAATTTTGCTCCTGGCTTCAGTATCTATCGTCTTCTATTCGAGCTTCTCAAGCCAAGCCCGATGGCTGAGATGCTCTCGATGCGAAGGCAGAGTTAGAAATTACGGTGACCAGAGTGAAACTGTCCGCCGCATTTCCAGCGAAGGCTACAACGAGAGGATGGGCGTATCCCACATCCTGTTCGGAATCGGAGGCTCGTTAAAGACATGGAAGGACCGCCGGTATTACAGCGAGTTATGGTGGAAGCCAAACATTACTCGTGGGTTCGTTTGGCTGGACGACGAGCCCGACAACAAAGATCCCTGGCCTGAAACCTCACCGCCGTATCGTGTATCAGATCACTCGTCGACGTTGAAGTACGCCAAATTGTACTGTTCCCGGCCCGCACTTCGCCTTGCGCGAATCGTACTGGAGAGCTTCCAATTGGGGTTAGAGAACGTGAGGTGGTTCGTGATGGGAGACGATGACACGGTGTTTTTCGTGGAGAATTTGGTTTCCGTCTTATCCAAGTACGATCACAATCAGATGTATTACGTCGGGGGAAACTCGGAAAGCGTAGAACAAGATGTCATGCATTCGTATGATATGGCGTTTGGAGGTGGTGGATTCGCCATCAGCTACCCCCTCGCTGCCGAGGTGGTTAAGGTTCTGGACGGGTGCATTGATCGGTACGCATCTCTCTACGGCGCTGATCAGATGATACAGGCATGCCTGAGCGAGATCGGGGTCCCCCTCACCAAGGAATCTGGTTTCCATCAGGTATGCATGCATGGAATCAGTAGTATCAGTCTCCCTTTCACAGTGCCCTTTAGACTTGTGAGATACCAATTTATAAGAGTAACTAAAGAGATAATTACTGATATCATATCCCCCGTCGTCGTTCTTCAACTCAAATATCAGGTGGACATTCGTGGAGATCCATACGGTCTATTAGCGTCACATCCGGTGGCGCCGTTGGTGTCGCTCCACCACCTCGACTACGTGAAGCCCTTCTTCCCAACCGAAACCCAGCTGGAATCGGTAAGAAGGCTATATGGGGCGTACAAGGCGGACCCCGGTCGAACCCTGCAGAGGAGTTTCTGCTACGACATCAAGCACAACTGGTCTGTGTCGGTTTCTTGGGGCTACACCGCCCAAATATACCCTTACTTGTTGACAGCCAAGGAGATGGAGAGTGCACTGCAAACGTTTCAGACATGGAGGAGCTGGAGTAACGGGCCATTCACTTTCAACACTAGGCCCTTGAGTGGCCTAGCTCCATGTGAACGGCCGCTTATTTACTTACTGGAGCAGGTTAATAATGATGAAATAGGGCAGCGCCAGACGCTGACCACTTATAAGAGGTTTGTGGAAGATCCAGGGCCAGGGGTGGTCTGTAATCAGTCCATCTACGGTGCTGCGTTGGCTGCATACTACGTTAGCGTCTCCGCTTCCAAGTTTGATGGTGGGGAATGGAAGAAGGTGAGAATATTTGAAAATGCATGGGTCCATGGTTTTTCATTCCGGCCAGTACTAGTTACTAGTTATCATATCACTTGCACTTGATGATATATGCATGCCTTCACTCTAGACCAGACCAATTACTTAGAGAGGCAACCATGAATTTGGCCCTTCACATTTTCCACACCAAGGGGTCTAATCACAATTCCTTCCTAACTTAAGTAATAGGGGATGTTTTAATAATACAAGTAGGTGAAATATCATTTTAGACTGAATTTGGTCCAATCCAATTTAATGTGACTGAAACACGGAGTCTATTACAAATGGACCAGGTCCAATTTAATCCAATGAATACATATTCATTGGAATGTTTTACATTTGGACCGGTATAATTCAATATCTAAACCAAACCATCCAATTCAACCTATTAAATTTGGACTGATCCAATTTAATGTCTTGTTAGTATAATCCAATCCATCCAAACTGATTTTTTAATGAATGCGCCTTCACAATAGGCGGTGTCTAAATAAATGACCCAAAATTAAAAACACACCCTTTTTGTATTTCATTGAACGAGCTATTAGGCTCAGTTTGGAACAAGTATAAATACAAATAGATAGATAGAAATTAGAATATAAGACCTTATATTACGTATTTTTGTGTTTGTTTTGTTTTGAAACTGAGGCTTTAATTAGAGAGTTAGAAACTAACATGCATGAATAATGATTTGATGAAGAGCAGGCCCCACGTAGACAATGTTGCGAGATAATCCACACAAATGGAACGGACAGCATTGTTCAAGTCAAGATTAGAAGCTGTAAACCCAATGAGACCTTCACTCTGCCTTGGACATAAATCCACATCGCTTCTCCCTTTCCTCTCCTGGCCGTAAATGTTTTTACTTCATGGAATGCTAATCCTACAACCAGCCCCCTGGTCATGTTGAACGTGTGGCTGAACAACTACGTACGTGTCATAGATATATTGGGATCTCGCAAATTCTACAATCAGCTCTGGTTTTCCAGCAAGCATATTCCTCTTTCCCTATATATAGGTGGTTGCCTTGAACCGGCTGTCTTGTACTTTTGAAAAGAATTTGCACTGTTTACTATGGATATACCTTCAATTTGTTTCTCCATACAATTTAATTTTAAGATTGAAATATCTCATCTGTTATTTCCATTCCTTTCACAGCAAAAACCTTCGATTTCTACCCTTGTTATTTGCATTGATGCAACTAGCGAGGAAATTAAAGCAAAAGTCTTGTTTCCTTCCCATTTACATCAAAACAAATTATAATTAGGTAGTAAACTAAATTTTAGTTTTCCCTGTAAAAAGGGCATAAATAAACAAATAATAACTGAAGTTTTTTGAATCGAAATTATTCGGGTTTCAAATAACCCCACTATTATTTCTTGCGAAACGTTTGTTTAGGTTTCGATTTAGACGTGGGCGCTGAAACCCTCAAGAAATTTGATTATATATTATAAACAATTTATATACAAAGTATAAGTATGAAAGTAACCATTATAAAAAATTTGTAAATATATGACGACAGAATTTATATATTATAAACAATTTGTAATAACCATTTACAAAGTATATATATTGTAAACAATTTGTAAAAAGTATGACAATAACTGATGGTGCGCAATCCGGCTGGTCCTAGCTGTCAACAACCTTGCCTCTGAAAAGAGCTACAGGGAGCCTGAAACGGAGAAGATGAGGAAGCTCCAGGTGGAACCTGGAATGAATGCTCCGAAGCTCAAGTTAGAATTCACACAAAGGCAAGATAAAACCAGATGGCGCGAACTTTACATACCTTGTTCTTGGGGGGAAGGGAGCCTTTTATAACCACCTCGTGCACTCACTTCTAAGCTTCTGCCAGGTCGGGTATGATTACCTCTGGGCCCTTGCCAGTTCGGGTGTCATCCCTTCTGTTGGACAAAACCGCCACTGCTCTCTTTATCGGAGCCGTCTCTGCGACTGGCGATGATGGTGGCAGGTGGCGGTGGCAGGTGGCCGTTGAAGTGCGGCTGTCAAGCGTCAGATCCCAAGTCAGTCAGGTGTCCCGCCCTTGGATACGGACCTTCTCAGTGTCAGGTATCGTACGTTTGTTCAGCTCGGCGTCCTGGAGGCGAAGTGCTGGAGTGGTGAGCGAGGCAAAGTCTTAAGTTCGGATAGGGGAGTGTCCTGAACTGCCATGAGGCGGGCCAGTTCGGGTCATTGCCTAGTGTGAGGCTCGGGGCCTAAGGGAGAGTTTGGGCTCCTTGTAGGGAATTCGGGCTCTTAGTAGGGAGTTCGGGCTCCTAGTAGGGAGTTCGGGCTCCTAGTAGGGAGTCTGGGCTCCTAGTAGGGAGTTCGGACTGCTGGTTCCTCCCTTCGGTGCTTGCGCCTTGGGCGCGCTGTTGTGCCGAGCTGTTCACCTTTGCCACGTGTTGAGTGATTACAAGGTCGGGCCAAATCTTCCTTCATCAATTGCCCCCCACTCCTCGTGCTAAGGGTCTTGCCCTAGCGCGGGGAGTTCGCGAGCTGGCAGTGGATTTGTCCCGTACTTCGAATCTTGATTGACTGATAGCGCGGGAAACGCGCCGACCTGCCTACAAATGCTGACAGACGTGGCAACGCACTCTTTATTTAAAAAATTCAAAAAGTGCGCCGCTGGGAGACGTGACAGCAGTAGTCTTTTCAAATTTGAAAACATGTCGCCGCCGCCTTTAATGTGAGGAGACGTGTGCTGGCCTTCTGTCAGTTTCAAAAAGGCGTGCGCCGACGCATGTCAGTTTCAGAAAGACGTGCGTCAATCACGTCTCGGTCTCAGGGGACGTGCGGTCAGCGCGACTGCGGGCCATCGGATCGGCTTTGATCTGCGTTGTTGCTTCTCGGTCACTGGGGGTATAAATAGTGGGGGACCCTAGTCGCTTTGTCACTTCTACGCTGCCTCTTGAGCTCGCGTCTAGGTTTTAGCTCGCGTTCAAGGTTTTTGCTCGTTCAAGTTCCCGTAGTTTCGTTCAAGCTTTTTTCCGAGTGAGTACCTTCTTGGAATCCACCTTCTGGGAGCAGCTCGCTGCGGGGCTGCGATTGCCTTTCCATCCCCTCCTTGTCGAGGTCTTCAATCACTTCGGCGTTACAGTCGGCCAGCTTCACCAGAACTCCATTCGTAATTTGGTGGGGACAATCTCCCTATTTTGCGAATAGGGCTTTCCTTTAGACTTGGAGATCTTCTCTTCCATCTTAATGCTTAAGAAGCAAGCAGGTCTCCTCCCTGGGCGTAGGCGGGCGTACTACCTGTCTCCTCGCCCGGGTTTTAAGCTTTTACATGAACTTCCTAATAAGGTCCGGGAGTGGAAGTGGGACTACTTCGGGGTGCGAAGTGTGCTAGGGTGGCCGTTTCAGACCGAGTGGGGGATGGCCGCCCCTGAGTCCGGTGTTACGCTTGACAAAGAGACGGTGAAGGGCCTCCGGCAATGGGCGCGGCTTGGACTAAAGTGCCAACAGTATCTGACGGAGGACAAGCTCATTGCTTTCTTCTGATGCCGAACTCTTTTTTGCAGGTGTGATGGACTCAGGAAGGACTCATGGTGGGCACTTGTTTCAAGGCATGAAGAGGAGGAAGCGAGTTGCCAAGCGAACTCGCACCGAGCTGCCCCGGGATGCAGAGCCCGAGGTACCAGACTACCCGTCAGAGGATCCGCCCAGGGAGCCCGAGATGTCTCCTCCAATGCAAGAAGTGGCAGGGGGGCCCATATGCTGAGACTACTTACACGGGGGCTCCCACCTACTCTGGTGCTTTGGGCCCTCGGGCTCGGGGGCCTCGGGGGAATCCAAGAGTGTGCTGTCACCGACCGATGCTCTTCAGAAGAGTAAGGAGGCCATTTTTCCCAAGGAGGTCATGGTGTGGACTGATCTCCCCCTGCACCAGGTGGCCTGTCGTGCTGTTACTCATGCCATGGTGGTAAGTCGGACTTTTTCTCGAGCTCTTTTGCTTTTATCCTTCTTGTTGTCGTTCTTTTAATCATTTGTTCTTTCTTTTTGGTAGGTGAACTCTTCTATCCATGCCTTGGCGGCCAAGGAGGAAAGGAGCTTGAGGCAGGCGCGAGCTACCGAAGAGGCTCTTCGTGCTGCCGAGATGACTTCCCGAGCTGCTGAGGCGGCTGCTCATAATGTAGAGGCGACTTCCCGAACTGCTGAGGCGGTTGCTCGTGCTGCAGAGGCCAGGCAGGCGAGGTCTTAGAGAGATGCCGAGGCCATGGGAGTCGTAGTGACATGGCGGACCTGAGGCTGGATTTGCAGCATCAGGTTGAATATCTTTAGGAGGACATTAGGGAGAGGACGCAAATCTTCTCTCAAGGTATTGAAGATGCTAAGAAGAAGGTCGTCGATGAGTACATCGCCTCGCCGAGCTTTGACGATCTGATAGTGGACTCGTACCGAAGGGGTTTCAAGCTAAGCCGGTGGATGATCCAGAATATGTACCCCGAGCTTGATATTAGTGCCATATCCACTTCGCGCATAACTCAAGAGATGGCCAATGTTGCAGACGGTGAGCCAGATTCCGAGGGCGAGACGGGACCTTCGGGTATTGTTGAAGTGCCTTCTGATAATGAAGAAGTAGCTCTGAGCCTATTAAATTTTTTTTTTGAAATGTACACTCTTACTTTGTAAAGGAATGACTTTTCTTTTGTTTTAAGTGTTGGTTGTTCTTTCTCCCGAACTGAACGTATTTTCCGAACTGACCATCCCGGTCTGTTTCCTGTCCGGGCTACTGCACTCGCGTGGCCGGCTTTGGTGTTAACTGTCTCTGAGATGCCGATGTCCCTATTAGTTCGTTGTCTCCGTTTCGCCTTTTGCTGACTTTTCTTTGCTTGCCTATGCCGAGGTTCCTTCGTTAGCTCGGCATCCTAGCCCTTAGGCTTTGGTGGCGATTTTATCCACTTCGCTTGGTGGTCTATAGGTAGTATCGCCTTAAGTTGACGATGTTCCATGCTCGGGGTACTTGCTTACCCTCTAAGGTTTCGAGCTCGTATGCCCCCCCGAGCGCTTTCTTTACTCTATAGGGTCCTTCCCAATTTCGTCCGAGTTTACCCACGTCGGGTTCGGGTACCATGATCTTACGGAGAACTAGCTCGCCGACGCGGAAGCTTCGCTTCTTTACTCTGGCATTGTAGTACCGAGCTAATTTTTGCCGTTGTTCGGATGTGTGCGAGGTCTCTTACCTCATCCAGTAGGTCGAGGTTGGTGCGTAACTCATCTCCGTTTGTCTGATCATCATATGCTTCTAGTCGTAGTGTAGGTATTTCGATTTCCGCTGGGATTACCGCTTCGGTGCCATAGGTGAGGTTAAAGGGGGTCTCTCCCATGGCGGTTTTCTCCATAGTTCGGGGAGCCCATAGAACTGTTTGCCATTGTCAGAGATCAGTACCCGAGGTAGCCCGAAGCGACATACTTTGTTCCTCCAAAAGAAGTTATGTATGTTTCGGGCTGTGACTGTTGCCAAAGGTTCAACTTCTATCCACTTTGTGAAGTAATCTACTGCCACTACTAGAAACGTTATCCCATCTGTTGCTGGCGGGAATGGCACCAGGAGGTCGATGCCCCATTGTGCAAAGGGCCATGGACTGGTGAGGTACTTGAGGTCGGCAGCAGGCTGATGGTGGATATTGGCATGCTTCTGGCACTTGTCGCATTTTCTGACGAGCTCGACAGCCTCTGCCTTCATCATTGGCCAGTAGTATCCTTGTCAAAATGCCTTTTGGGCGAGGGCTCTGCCGCCCAGGTGTCCGCCGCATAGGCCTTCACGAGTGTCACGGAGTACGAGCTCGGCTTCGGCAGGTCGCAAGCAACGCAGGTAAGGGAGCGTGTAGGACCGTCGATACAACCGTTCGTCTATTATGACATATTTGGCTGCCTGGCGCTGTACCCTCTTGGCTGCATTGCGGTCCTTAGTGATGGTTCCTTCTAGCAAGAAGCCCGCGAGTGGGTCGTTCCAGCTCAGCTCTGCTTCAAGGACGGGAGTGACCTCCTTTACCCCACCAAGAATGCTACGCCGAGGTAAGTCCTCTATGTACACGATTCTCATGGTGTTGTGACTTGTGCTGGCTAACCGGGACAGGGCATCGGCCTCAG